CTGGGGTCGGTCCGGGGGTGTGGGTCTCGTTTTCAGCGGCTCTCCCTTCCTCCGCAGAAGTGACGAACGATGTGACCTGGGAGGATTCGCTCATGGTCGGCCTCGAGGGAGCTCTCCTGGGATGGTGCGTAGCTCGCCTAGTCCTTGCTTGTGGCACCGGCCCTGCCGGGAGCAGTCGCCACGGTCACTTGCGTGGGCAAACAGAGGCTTCTGCGAAGCTGGGAGCCAGGAGCTCCTCTGACTTGTGCGCTGGGGTGTCTTCGGGGCTCGGTAAACTCCGAGGTGCTTTTTGTACTCGCGCTTCACCATTTCGGATGGAGAAACCTTTTGTAGGTACGTGGCTTTCCTTTTTTTGTCAAAATCAAAAGTTAGGCTGCTCTAACCTGTGTTGGTGGAGGGGAACATTTGAGTGATGCGGTAAAAGACATCCTTGTCTTTAGGTCTCTTTCTTCCACTCCTTCCCTAAAAAGTCTCTTACCTAAATCCAAGCATCTCAGTTTGGGGGGGTTTTGTACTGAAAATTAATATCTGCTGCTCTATTCACAAGCCTACAGTTAGCAACAGGTTTGGTAACTCTGGGATTAGTCTGATGGGAAGGATGTAAATATCACCTGAGGACTTACAGAACTGGTAGTATGTTTAAAGGCTATTTTACAACTATAGTGGCTGGGGACTTTTTTAATATAAGACTTGCTTTTTTTTTTTTTTTTTTTGGCCTGTTTTTTTTTTTCCTTTCTCTGCATGAGGCAATAATCTGTTTTATCAGGAGGAAATTTCACATCTATGACCCTGGCACAGGCATTGTTTTACCAGTTAAATCATGTTCGAGTAGTATAGCTTAAACTACTCGGTGATAATAAGATACGTATTTTCTTCCTTAACTGCAACTTCACTTATTACAGAAATTATTTTTTGCACAGCATGCCCAATTCTTTTGTTCACATTCTCTTTGTAGGTATTATTTCTTTAAGGAGAAACCATTACTATGTCTCACTTCACTGCCCTGACAGAACTGAAGATTGTATGTCCTCTGACAAGCATGCAGTATCTATGGCTTCAGAGGATTCTGTTCAATAACATTTTTCCCTTTCTTCTTTAGTGCTTACAATGCATTATCCTGTCGCTCATGTGGCTTGATTGTGGGCTTCATTCTTTATTCTGCCTCCAGTGACCTGGCGTATCTCCGAGGCTGCTTCTCTTTCTTCAAGGACAGCATCCTCTGGTGAGTATACTGTATTCTTATGGTCAATGATTTCACGGGAATTTGTAAGTTATTACAACAGGGTGTACAAATCTACAGATAACAAAAGCAGCTTTACCTTTGACTGAGTGCATTGGCATGGGATTTTAATATCCTCTATGTTTAAACTGTTTGTGTTGGCATGACTCCATTGATTTGCCTTGCATTTCTTGAGTGTCCTCATGTAACGTCAAGGTTTAAGTTTAGCTGTTAGCAATACTGAAATCTTCAGTTCCAGATTTGCTTAGCTAATGTAAGGTATCAAAGTAGTTCCATGATAGATTGAGATATGATAGATTTGGGCTGCAAACTGTAAATTACTTAGAGCTGGTGATGAGAGGATCTTACGATTTCAAAGTAAAACCATTGTTACATTTTTAATATTTTCATAATGCATTGACTACTTTTGGCAATAACTTTGTATCTGCTTTAAAATCATCTTACATAATGTATCTAAATAATGAATGCAACTATGGGGTTTTTAACTGTTTTTCTTGGGTTTTTTTTCCCTTTCCCCTTTTGTTTTCCAGTTACCTCTTAAAAAAACAAATGATAATAGAAGCTTCTAAGGTGAATTTTCCTGCTGTGACCTTAAAGGAACAACTGCAGAAAGTAAGGTCGCTACATTAATTTGTATGGAAAATATTTTTTAAATGCTGGTATTTTCTGATATTAGGCCAAAAATATTGATACAATTACTTTTTCTTTAAGTGCATAAGATGGAGAAAATACTGACTTATAAAACAGTGACGGACTTAAATACCTGAGACATGCAAAACATATCCAGTTCTAGCTAATTTTTTGGCAGAAGTGTGTTATGCTTTTGTCGCTACACTTTGAAAAGAAAAAAAACAAGAATCAGTTAGACAGAATTTGCTCAAGTATTGCTACTTGTGTTGTCCCTAGAAGTGATAAGTCACTGTTGAAAAATTTAAAAAATAGCAATTTGTTAATTTGAAAGGGATTCTAGCACAGTTGTATTTATGGCTATGTAAGCTCAAAACAGCATGGCAGTATTTACTTGTAGTTTCAGAGACAACACTAGAACCTCCCTCCTTTTTTGGTGTTTAAATTGGATGTTATTTTCTCTAACTTGCTTACTGCTACCTGAGCAAATTGTCTGTCTCATAGCTCAAATAAAGTTAGTGTGTGTAGGAGACAGCCAGTGTATCCAGTATTTATGTGCTTACTTGTTTCTTACTTTTTTTAGTTTCCCTTCTAAGCATGGAAGTGGGTCTGTGACATTTCTTAAGCTTTGTCCTCTTTAAAGTCATCTTCCAGTGTCTTACCATAAGATCAGAGTGGTTTTATATGTCAAGTGAGGCTAAAATGCAAAAATCTTATCCAGGCAAGACTTTTTAAGTTGACGTTTTTCTGAAGTGAAAAAACGGTAGTACTTCATTGCAAACATAAATTATGTGACAGTGGAGTTTGTTTGTTGACTAGAACAAGTGCAAGAATCTGGTCTTTGCTTTTTGAGATGTAATTTTACTCTGGTGTGTTAGATCTGTTAACTTAAACCCCAGACCCTGGAAATGGCATTTTTGAGGGACTGTCCATGTGTGTTCCTAAGCTAATGATGAAACAATCTGTCCAGATATTGTCAAAGAAGGTCTCTGGCTGTGCAAAAACTTGTAATGAGTTAACTAGGAGAGACTGGATTGATCGTAGTAAGGCTCCACCAACTCTGTCTCCTTAAGTAGAGCACTTCCATACATCTCTGAAAGGGGTTATGCTGGCACACGTTCATCTGTCTCCTCTTTGTAGCGCAGGTCTCTGATTTGGGTGCCAGTTTTGGCTGTACTAGACATGCAGTGTAGAGATTAAAGCCCAGTATAATTTTCCATCTTGAAAGTCAGCTGCTCTTTAGCCACTGAACGTGGGGTGCAGATCATTCAAAGATCCAGCATTAGGACATTTTTTCTCTAGTTTTAATGCTCTTATTTCTGTTTTTTTCCTAGCTGAAAGAAAAGCTTGTGGAGGTCCATGCTCGCATGGAATTGCTGATGAAGAAGCTGGAGGAAGTGGAACAAAAGAATAACATAGCAGAAAGGCAAAGCTCTGCATCAGATGCAGTTGGCCTACTGCCAGGATATGCAATAGTCAGGGTCAACTAATAATATGTCATTTTCAAGAACTGCTGGAGCTGTTTCTGCATCACTGCTGAGTTTGTTCATTATGATGAAACAATGCACCAGAACAGGTTTGAGTGTTGATCTGTCACTTTATCTGTGTATAGAAAGAACCAATGCTTAAGTGCGTCCCTTCAGTCTAAGGGGAACACCTGAAAATCTGACATACTGAAGTTATGCTTGGAAAAATTAATAGCTCACCCATGCAGCACATCACTCTCTGGGACAGTATAACTATAACTTTGATTCTCTCTAATGACTTCAGGGGGAAAAACAGCCTTTGAAATACTAAAATCAGGTTTCTGGAACTGTACAAAATATACTAACAAGATGATATTTGAGAGGAGCTATTATAAATTGAATGTTCTTACAGAGATCTAAAGTTCTTGTCCTATCTTTTCATATAGTTGCAGTGTTCATAGCAGCTAGCTGTTGGTCAAGTGGCTCATTAGCTGCATCTGGTATGTGAGGCACTGCTAAATGGCCTCCTGATTAGTTCTTTTAGATTTGCTTGTGTGTGTAGCCTGCAAAAGGAGCAAGCTAGCATGTCATAGAAGCTGCACAGTGTGCTTAGCGCATGAATCTGGATGGCACAATGCTGGCTGGAGCACAAGGTTTTGGATTTCAAACTCAAGGGCAACCCATGTGCCTGCCAAGTCCTCTGGAAATGCAGCCCCATGGCTGCACAGGACTGAGTCAAGTTCTGGCAGCTCTGTGAAGGATAGGCTATGAGCAACTGCCTTTCACAGATTTGAGCCCTGCCTTTCTGGGACTGAAGCTGAGAAACCAAGGAACAGTCTTGTCATCTTCTCTTCTGCTCAGTCGTGGGAACACTGCTCTGCTGAAGTCGATGATCTGCCTGCCACCTTCCCTTGGCCAGTCAAGATGTTTCATAAAAAATACCTAATGGGTACTCATTGGGATCTCTCTGTTTTGAATGGGTTCTGCTTCTTTTCAAACACCTAGAAAGTAATTTGATGGAAAAGAAAGAACACTACTTACCCCTTGTTATTGGGACAGAGTCTCTTTATACCTTATTCTTGTTAGCTGGAAGATTAAGGGTCTTTTCCGCTTCTTTTTGCTGCCTAAAGGGCTGATGTTTTAAACCTTCCATAAAATTTAGCAGTTGTCTGTAGTAGTCAAGAGGATTCTATTAACTTAATTTCAGTGATGCAATTTGCCATTCCTGCACTTTTACTTCCATATATGATTGGCAGATTGCACTCCCTGTTGCTGCTGATGCCAGTACTCCCTGTATTTCATAGTCTTAATTGTTTTATTTGTAAAATAACTCTTGTATGGGCTTGGAGCAGAGGGGACGAAACTCACTGCAAGGCATCTCAGAGGCTTTAGGTGGGCAGATGGTACTTATACTACTACTTATGTTCACTGTGCTGCTTTTTGATTAAGAGTTCCCAGTTATCTCAGTTCATTCTGATTAAGCAATAACATAGAATATCAACAGCCATTCTGCAGGGAGAGGATAGGTGCTCTCTGTTAAATTCTAATACTGTATGCTATCTAAATTATTTTTATTGTTTATGTTTTACAGATTTGACAGGTGTAAGTGTAAAAATGCAGTGCTTTTCAATGACAGATAAATTCAGGGTATCAAAAGTAAATACCTGAAGTAAACGCAAGATTTCTTGCAAGATCTGTTTCATTGCCTGTAATGATAAATGTTATCGTCGCTAAAATGAGCTCTATCCTGAACCCTTAACTGGAAGGCTGTTCTTAACAGTTGTCCCTGTATATTCATGTAAAGTTTGGATTTGCTGTATTTGATTATTTCATTATGAAGAAGTTTTTAAAGTTGTGTTGTGCAGCGACTTCTGCATTATGTTTAAGGGCCTGTTGGTCTTTAACTGGGGTCTTGTGACTGACCTCATTTTGTGCAAGCATCTTGCCATCTTAGGTAAATGTTTTCCACTGTATAACTTCACCTTTGTGTTACTTTCTAAGTGACAGCCCTTTTGTTGTTGCATCAGTCTAAGAAACATGATTGATAATGGGACTGCTCACTTTTGCCCTTTCATTCTGGTTTCTCCATTGAGACTGTTTCTTGTTATGTACTTTACATCTGTAATGTGTATAATAGTGCTAAATTTTCTTGCTTCATTTAGTTGTGTCCACCCTTAAAAGGAAGAGAGAGTTGTTGGTTAATTTTTTTTATATTACCTTTACAGTTGTAAAGAAGAAACTTTTTAAGTTAAAGCTGAAATTCAGAAATATATATTGTGCAGATCACGTATAATGTGAGTCATAAGCCTACTTCTTTTCCTTAGATTATGTTTGCAAAAAAAAAAAACCCATCAGTTTATCTTGCTTGGGTCCTGGTTCATTATCATAGAATCAGAATGCTTTGGGGTGGAAGGGACCTTTAGAGGTCATCTCGCCCAACCCCCCTGCAGTGGGCAGGGACATCTCTAACTAGATCAGGTTGCTCAGAGCCCCATCCAACCTGACCTTGAATGTTTCTAGGGATGGGGCCTCACTACCTCTCTGGGCAACCTGTTCCAGTGCTTCACCACCCTTCACTGTAAAACATTTCTTCCTTATAGCCAGTCTAAAACTATCCTCCTTTAGTTTAAAACCATTACTTCTTGTCCTGTCACAACAGGCCTTGCTAAAAAGGTTGTCCCCATCCTTCCTACAGGCCCCCTTTAAGTACTGAAAGGCCACAATAAGGTCTCCCTGCAGCCTTCTCCAGGCTGAACAACCCCAACTCCTGTTCTCGTAGGAGAGGTGCTCCAGCCCTCTGATCATTTTTGTGGCCCTCCTCTGGACCTGCTCCAACAGGTCCAGGTCCTTCTTGTGCTGAGGGCCCCAGAGCTGGATGCAGGTACTCCAGGTGAGGTCTCACCAGAGTAGAGGGGCAGAATCACCTCCCTTGACCTGCTGGCCACGCTTCTTTTCATGCAGCCCAGGATTCGGTTGGCCTTTTGGGCTGCAAGCGCACATTGCCGGCTCGTGTCCAGCTTTTCACCCACCAGTACCCCCAAGTCCTTCTCTGCAGGGCTGCTCTCAATCTCTTCATCCCCCAGCCTATATTGATATCAGGGGTTGCCCCATCCCAGGTGCAGGACCTTGCACTTGGCCTTGTTGAACCTCATGAGGTTCACACAGGCCCACCTCTCCAGCTTGTCC